TTGGGTTAGCGAGATGAGTTGTGAAGGATACAAAAGTGATTGAATTATTGTTGGACAAACGATTTCCTTTTGAATCTTCAAATTCATTGAAGATCCTTTCAATTTTGATTCAAGTTGTTTGGATTTGCTATGTATACCCTCTGTTTTTTAATTTTTTAATTTGTACATTGATGTATAAGTCGTGATACATGATTACTAGTTACAAATTCATACATTACTAGTTTGATGTATATGTAATGTGTTTTTAGATCCCAAAATTCTTCTTTCCATTCTTCCAAAAAAAATCAAATTTTCAATCAAACTTTTGATAAATGATACATTTGGTAGAAGTTTTGTATCAAGTATCAAAACTAATTAAGGTTATGTATGAAAGCTAATATTTGAACATGATACACCGTGCATGATAAAATTGTAATGTATCGTAGTGTTGAAAAAAAGTCATTATACATTAATTAAGAAACAAAATTCACTAGATACATTAAAAATATAATTAATGTATCCCAAACTATAGCTGTAAGATAATTTAGTAATTTGAACACGATACATTGTACATGATAAAATTGTAATGTATCATAATATTGAAATGAAGGCATTATTGTTTACTAATAATTCTATAGATCAGTCTTTGAATTATATGAGATGTTCCTAACAGACACAAAAAGCCATTCTCATACAAACCTAAAAGAAGGAAACAAACAAGCGCCTATTAGATCTGTTCTGATATGAAATATGCCTTCTTTTTCACATTAGTTCCAGGTGAAACACCTGAATGGCTGAAATCTATTGCGAAGAGCATGGAGGCTGCTATGTGTTCATCTGTTTGGTCAATCGTAGAGGTGTAAGCAATGTTGAAGATGAAAAACTAAAAAAAAATGAAAACTGAATTATGGAAAGAGATCCACCTCTTGAATAACTTGAAATCATTAATTGGAAAGAGAAAAGATTTTAAATTCATAAATGGATTAATGGGGTAACTGTGGAAAGATTTGTGGCGTGAAAAAGGGAGAAAAAAATCGTGTGGATTATGTATCCGGCAGTTTTGTGTTGTCCTAAAAAATAAGAGATTATGGAAAATTTTAGAATTGGTAGGGAATAATGGAAATTATGGGGGAAAAAGTGTGTATATAGGTAATTTTTTCTATTATTTATAGTATACAATGAGAACAATGTTGGATATTGTTTGTGCAAATGGGCACAATTGATTTCTCACAACTTAAATTTTATTATATCAAAGTAAAAACCCGCTTCGGTCTTACAATTCTTACAGACAAATATTTCTTGCACTCACACTCTAGCAGTAACTCTCTCTTATTTCTCACTCACTTGTTGTTTGCTCTTTTTCTTACTTTCTTTCTTGTTTTCTTACTTGGTTAGATACAACTCGAATGAACCACCTCTATTTATAGGTGGTGATGGAAAAGTTTAGCTAAGGGTTTTGCTACTATATATATATTCTAGAATGTTCTTCTAACTACCAATAGAACTACCTTTTCTAGAACATCCCCAGACTTTTCTCTCTAGAATACTCATTCTAGAGATCTTCCTTTATTTCTTTATAACTCTTGAATATTATAGATTCTTCTTTGAAATGTCATGGATATTAATTAAGTTGGTGATGATTTCTTAACACTCCCCCTTAGCACCAACTTTATTTTCTCTTTCAATTATTCCAAGCACTTCTTGAAACCTTATAAACTTCATGTTGTCCAGGCTCTTAGTGAATATATGTCCGCTACTTGCTCTTTTGTCCTGATTTGCTTCATTTCAATTTCTCCTTGAAGAATTTTTTTCTTGAAGAAAATTATAGTGTACTTCCACATGATTCGTCTGAGCATGAAATACAGGATTTTCAGCCAAACGAATAGCTGACAAGTTGTCACAATATAGTGGTACCATATCTTTTGATGTTGATGCAAGCCTTACATGAGTTGTTTTAGTCATGTGCTCTCTTGTCCTGCCGTCATTCTTGCTCGATATTCTGTTTTTGTAGTTGAAAGTGAAATAGTTGGTTGTCTTGTGTTGCACCATGATATTACGGCTGATCCAAGATTGAAAACATATCAAGTGGTTGATCTTCGGGTATCATGGTCACCAGCTTAATCAACATCACAATATTCGATTATCTTGCAAGAAGCTCATTTCATATAGAACAGTCCATAGCCAATACTTCCTTTCACATACTTTAATATCCTTCTGATTGCTTCCAAATGAGGCTTCTTTGGTTTCTGCATAAATCTGCTAATTAATCCAACTGCAAAGGCAATATCTGATCTGGTCAATGTTAAATAGATAAGTATACCGACAAGTTGACGATACATTGTCTCTTCCTCCAAGTCTTTGCCTTCATGGGAACATAGTTTTAAGTTAGGCTCCATTGGTGTAGAAGATATCTTGCAACTCATCATTCCATATTTTTGGAGTAGATCTCTCGCATACTTTTGTTGTCCAAGGAATAATTCATCATTTGTTTTGTTTAACCTCAAGACCAAGGAAGTGTTTTAGTTCGCCCAACTCCTTCATTTGAAATCACACCATCAAATTTATTTTACCTTGATAGATCTCATCGAAGTCGTATCATGTGATGATTAAATCATCTACACGGACTAATATGATAGCTAACCTTTATTCACGAGCTTTTACGAATAAGCTTGAATCTGTTGATGCCACTTGATAGCCACTTTAGATCAGGAACTCGGTAATTTTTCCGTACCATGCTCGGGGGTCTTGCTTCAAACCATACAAAGCTTTCTTCAATTTGCACACACAATCAGGATTGACTCTATTCAGAAAATCTTGTGGCTAATTTATGAATATTTCGCGATCCACTTCTCCATGAAGAAAAGCATTATTCACATCCATCTACCACAGTGTCCAAGACATACTAGCTGTCAGAGCTAGTAACACACGAAAAATAGTAATTTTTGCCACGGGACTAAATGCCTCGTCATAGTCAAGACCGTACTCTTGTGAGAATCCCCGAGCTACTAATCATGCCTTGTACCACTCGATAGATCCATCAGGACGTGTTTTCAGCTTATATACTCACTTACATGATATGGGTTTAACATCCATAGATTTAGCCACTAACTCCAAAATTTGGTTTAGCTTTAAGGCTGAAATATCCTCTTCCATTGCCATTCTCCATTTACTACTCTTCGAAGCTTCTTCGAAGGTGGTAGGTTCCTTGACCTTGTCAACCTCAGCCAGCACCACATTTATATACTTGCTATTTTAGAGTTTCGGTCGTGTGGATCTTCGTCGTTGAGGAGTTTTTTGTACTCCTTGCAGCTCTTCTGGAGTTTAATGAATTCCAATTTTCCACGGGCTCTTATTTTCTCTGGTTGAAGATATCTCTTTTTATGTGATTCGAGTATTTCACATACCTGTTGTTGTAATTCTATTTTACTTCCTTGTCCTTGTTCTTCAAGCTTATGTTGTAGCTTTTTCTCTAATTTTATTGAATCTAGTAATGTGACTTCTTCAGACCACCATGATGATGCTTCATCAAATACAACATTTCTTGACACATATGTCCGATTTGTGCTAGGGTCACAATACTTCCATCCTTTTGTTTGTTTGTCGTATCCAACAAAGATGCAACGAACAACTTTCTTATCAAACTTGCTGCGGAGATGATCTGACACGAACACATAGCACACACAACCAAAAACTCGAAAGTGGCTTACGATAGGAATCACTTTTTAAGTATCTCAAATGGTGAGATGAATCTCAATCTTGCCTGCGGTAACCTGTTGGTGATATGGACAACAGTCTTCATGCATTATACTCAAAACCTTGATGGTACATTCATACTATGCAACATACTTCTACATATCTTTGTTGGATATCTATTTTTTCATTCAGTCACTCCATTTTGTTGTGGCGTATTTGGACAAGTTAGTTGTCGTCTCATCAACTTCTCTTTAAGATAGTTATTGAACTCTCGTGATGTGTATTCTCCCCTATTGTTTGTACGGAGACATTTGACTTTTCTTCCAATATCATTCTCCACAGTATATTGAAACTCTTTAAACTTCTCAAATACTTCATATTTCTCTTTTAAGTACATACCTTGAGAAGTCATCAATGAATGTTACCATGTAACGATAATCACTGATGGAGGACTGCTTCACTGGTCCAAACACGTCTGAGTGTACTAGCTCCAATGGCTTCTTCGCTTGATACTTTGATTCTCCATAGGGAAGTTGATGTGTTGTCCCATATTGACATCCAACATATATAGTGTCTCCTCTAATCTCAAGCTGGGGAAGACCTTTTAATTTTGACAGTTGCATTATGATTTTTAGTTTGTTGTAGCTCACGTGCCCAAGACGTGCATGCCATAGATCAGTTGTTTCATTACTCCGCATTTTCTCAACATAAGTTGTATTTGCTGACATGACGACGTAGATTGATTCTAATCTTATCCATGTTAGATTCAAAAGTGATTAGGACGTCATCCGAAAGCTTATAATTACAAATATAAATTAGACGACATATAAAACTATACTAAAAGAAATATATAATTAGATGATATGACCGATTGGCAGTGGCATACCCAAAATTTTCATTCAGGGGGTTCAAAAAATAAAAGTATAAACGTGTAAATAAGCCAACAAAATAAAATTTCAAGGAAGTAGTAGTATTTAGTTTATAGGTACAGCAAGTTAGTTTCGTCACAAGAGACCCGAAACTAACATGAGTGATTACAGTAAAACAAAAGGTTACCCTTTTACAATGTGTTAATCTAGAACTAGGATGCTACGTAGAGCAAAAAATGGTGCTAACTAGAACAAAAAAAATAGCACTTCACAATGTCTCATTCTAGGACTAGAGTGCTAACTACAAACTCCAAAAAGAGGTCAGTGCTAATACTTCTCAAGCACGTTTACAATACTATTCGACGAGGTTTCATTGGTTGAAAAGACAAAATAATATCATTCGTTGAAACATCATTAAACACATATTTCTCCATAAAATTAAAGGAACCATGCAACCACTCAAGACTCATCATTCATTTGACTTTGCAACTCATTCTTAATAAAGTTCATTCCTGAGAAAGCTTTTTTAACCGATGTAGTGGCAACTGGCAGAAGCAAAGCAAATTTCACCAAACGAAATACATGAGGATAACATGAATGCTTTTTTGTCTGAATCAATCTTTTTGAAAGATCACAAAGCCCATGTAAATTAGAGAACCTCTTATTGATATCACGGACATCAATAATGTAATTTGCAAGTTGATTCTCAAGTGCAAACATGTTAAGTTCATCAAAGTCTTCGGGATATAATTCAGTCATTCTCATTATTTTCTGAATATCAAAACTTGAAAATGAGTCTATCGGATTCAAACAAGCAACTCCATAAAGAAACTCAGGTGTCACGTCACTAAAACAATCATTGAGTTCTTGTAATTGCCAATCAATTATTTTACAAAATACTTCAGCACGATAATGATGAAAAACAGTATAATCAACAGATTTATGGCGTGATCTTCCAGAATTAACATACGACTCATCAAAATTAAGTACCAAAATATTATACTTGATACAAAATGTAGACACCTCAACAACAAATAAATCTTGTCTTTCATTTTCCCTTAACTCTTGTAGCCTTCTCTTGCCATTTTAACAAGTAGCATGGCATTTGCAATGTCTTGCTCCTTTTTTATAAACATGTACTGAAATCATTCGTAATTCCTAAAACGTCTTTCATCAAATGCAATATCATATGTTTGAGCAATTCGAATATATCATGTTGCCATGGATCTTTCATCCATAGAATGTATAGTTTCAACAATATTATCAAGAATGTCCATAATTTCACCAAACTTGAGAATAAAACAGTTAAAAGATTTGAAGTGAGATCCCCAATGAATATCCCAAGCTCTAGAAATATCAACTTTCCGATGCAAGCATCTACCAGTTTTAAGCTCACCCATATCAAAAGCCTCTTGAATATTTTTTTTTAAGTTCTCGATGATCATTCATATGTTTATAAGAAGCCGCCAACACATTAAAAATATTTGAAACCAAATGTACAAGTTCTCAAACTTGAAGACATCTTTTAGAAACACCAACAAGAGTTAATTGAAGTTGATGAGAAAAATAATGTATGGAATAAGCCGATCTACTTTCTTTCTTAATAAACATCTTGAGGCCATTGATATCACCTTGCATATTACTTGCTCAATCATAGCATTGTCCATGCACATAAGATAGACTCAAGGAATGTTGAGAAAGTAAATTGACAATTGCTTCTTTAAGAGATAAAGCACTATTATTTTTAACATGAACAATGTCAAGAAGTCTCTCCATCACAAATCCTCTTTTATCAACATATTGTGAAATAACCGTCATTTGCTCCTTGCATGAAACATCAAAAGATTCATCAACCAATAAGGAAAAATAATCACCCTTTAGTTCCTTTATGATGCTCTTAATTGTTTCAATATTGCAAGCAATCACAATATCTTTTTGAATCTTTGGACAAGTCATTTGGTCATTTTGAGGAGCATTTTTCAATACAAAACTACAAATTTCATCACACTTTCTAGCATAAAATGGAAGAAACTCAAGAAAATTACCTCTGTTAAGTAATAATATAGATTCATCATGACCTCAAAATGTCAAGTCTTGTTTCACAAGAAGTCTTACTACATCAACTGGAGCTGCTAAGCGGATTCAATACCCATGTTTATCTTGATTGGATTGTTTCTCAAATGAAGTATGGATAGATTGTTGTTGCCGCATTAGATCTTCACATTTTCTTTTTGATTGATTGTGAATGCTAGTATGCCCACCAACATGTGTTTGTAAACTAGCCTTTTTATGCCAACTCATAAACCCCCATACTCGAAAAAGCTTCACCTCCACCTAGAAGATTGTTGTTTCCCTTGAATAAATAACAATACAAACAAAAGGCTACATCTTTACATATACTATATTCTAACCAATCAGGAAATTCATTAAACCATTTATGATTAAAACGACGCATATCTCAAGAAATCTCTGTTTATGGGAACTCTTTCAAAAGAGGTTGACAAGGTTTTTTCTGGAGATAAGATCTTCTAATAGCGTCACGATGATTTGGATGAAATTCCAAGATTTGAGTTCTTTCACCTAGATCAGTCTTTAAAGAACTTAAATCAAATTCTTGAGAAGAATCTGATGGTACTTCCAAATGATTAGCATTTTCTTCCCGGTTAGGTTGATTCTGAGCAATAGAACTTGAATTTGATACTTTAATAAAGTACGTCTTCATTGACTATGAATCTATACAAAATAGTTGAATTGTTAAATGCATTAGAGATATTTTTTAACAAATTACATTAAATATTACCATCAAAATTCAAATGGTTCATAAATCTAGATACAACAACCAAAGAAAGAAGTAGAAATAAAAAAAAAATTCACAATTTAAAATGAAGATACTCAATATTCAATCAAGAAAGATAAACTTTTCAAGAAAAATGGAGAGAAGATCTTACCTTGGAGAAAAGACACACAATTAACTCTTTAGATTTTAGCTTTGAGCCTCCACTTCAGATAATCAGAGCTACTACAACCTTTAAAAAATAAAGACCCATTTATTTTTTGAAATTTTTGCTACAAATATTTTAGTTTTAATTTCTTGAAAAATGAAAGAGAAGAATAAGAAGAAGAAGAAGAGAAAAGGGTTTTACCTTTTAAGCAATAAGTACGAATTTTTATTTTTTATTATTTCAAATTGAATAGATTCAAGTATGAAGTATCAACTATGAAACAAATCAATAGAAAATTATGGGATATGAATTTAATATTTGACTTTTGAGTGGTGGGAAAGAACGAAGGAAGTGATTTAGGGATTTGGGAAGTGAAAAGTTATTTAGCTTTTAGGAATGAGACCCTTGAATTCTTTTGGATTTAAAACCACACTTTTAGCATGATTTTTAAAATTAAAAACTAAAATAAAATGTGAAATAACGGAACTGAAACTAAAAATAAAATGCTAATACGGGAATTCAAATTCTCGACGTGAAGCTTAACTTCAAGGGGACCTGCCGCTGCGCTATAAGTTTTTCCTGTCATTGAGGGTTTCAAAATATATATATCTACATAAATACAGAAAATTTATATTATATATACAGTGTAATTTTTTTTCCGAAGGGGTTCGGGTGAACCCCCTGGAACCCACGTGGGTCTGCCCCTGCCAATTGGCCTACAAATTTAAAAATTAATAAAAAACATATAAATTGTAGAGAGAAAATCTCCCCATAAACAAAAGTCTTTAAATGACTACATTGTAGATCTCATTGTGTTATGCTATGAAAATAGAGATCTTCAATTGACAGATCTCCAAACTTTTCTTATAGGAAAGAATAACCAAATATGGAAGAAAAATTATATTTTCCTTTCATGAATGTAAAATCAATTATGGTAATGTTTTAACTTTCCTTCAAGGTAAAATTAAAACTTAAATATGACAAGAAAATCAGGGCAAAACCCTAACAAATCTCCCCTTTTGGCTGGATTTTCTTGATAAAACTTGATTCGTCTTCTTCACGTGCATGATATCTTCGCTCTTCACATAGTCTTTACCATTGTTGCTTGCCATGATTAAAAATAAAATTTAAAATATATGGGTTTAAAATGGTTTAAAACTATTTTATTTTTATTTTCAAAGATGCAGCAACAGAAATGTTGAAAATATGGTTCAAATCTCTTATCCACATGTAGCTGGACAAAAATCTTATTTATCATCAAATTGATTGCAAATTGTTTTGAAACAACCTTGAACATGTCTTTAACTTCAATGAACCATTGAACCATGTCTCTAATACCACTTGTTGGGTTTGAAAGTGATTAGGGAGTCATGCGAAAGCTTACAATTGTAAATCATATGTTGATAAATTAGACGACATATAAAACTATACTAAAAGAAACATATATTATTATATGATATGACCAATTGACCTACATATTTAAAAACTATAAAGAGAAAATCTCCCCATAAACAAAAGTCTCTAAACGACTACATTGTAGATCCTATTATGTTGGAAGAATAGGGATCTTCAATTTATAGATCTCAAGCTTTTCGTATAAGGAAAGAATAACCAAATATGGAAGAAAATAATATTTTTCTTTCATGAAAAGTAAAAGCAATTATGGTAATGCTTTAACTTTCCTTCAAGGTAAAACTAAAACTCAAATATGGTAAGAAAATCAGGAAAAAATCCTAACACTCCCTTCCATGATTGGTGTGCTTGTAACTTTTAAGTTCTAATATATTTTTACATTATTTGTCCCAAACAAGACATAGTTACCAGAATCTGTTAATTGCGCTACAGATAATAAGTTTTTATTCATACTGAAACATGGTAGACATTTTGAAGTTCCACTTGTCTTGAGTTGTGCTGAGTCACGAACACCGTCTTGCCAATATGAGTTATTGACATTTTTGAATTATTTGCAGTCACCACTACTCGACCGCCTTTTTATATGCTCATGTTGACGAGCTTTTTCTCACCATCAGTCATGTGATTGGAACATCATGAATCTACGGTCCAATCATGTTCATAATCAACCAATTTCTCACTTACAGTTGCGAGTGCAATCTCCTCTTCTTTGTTAGAGTGACATGTGACAAACTCATCTTGTTGATTAGTTTCTTCAACTGCATAAGAGGTCTCAAAATCCCAAGCTTTTTCTTCTTATTGTTGGTTATGGGAAGAAGTAGGTACGTTACCTTCAGGTTTCTTGTACCAGCAATCTCTAGCATAGTGTCCTTTCTTTCCATAATTATAGCACTTCTCTGCTTTTCATTTGTTGAAGCTTTGGTTTGCATGCTTGTCATGTCGCTCACTTCTTTGATGTTGATTCTTCTAGTCTTCCACTGGACGTGAGCTTCTCCTCTCATCCCTTCTTTGAAAATTTGACTTTTTACTGAAGAACGCCTTATCTTCATCTTTTATAGAGATGCTTAATAATGGCTTCTCCAGATCTTCTTCATTTTCCAACAGATTTTTCAACTCATATAAAATTGGTTTTGTGGCCCACCCTGTGTGGCTGTAATTATGTTTTTGTACTCTGGCCTTAGACTATGAATAATGATTCTCCTCATTCTTGTCTCCATGATAGTATTCTCAGGATCTAATTTTGATATTTCATAAGATAAATATTTTACCTTTGAGAAGTATTGGTTGATTGTCATATTTCGTTGAGAGATCGACAAAAGCTCATTTTCAAGCCTTTGTAATCTCGCATCATTCTTCTTTGTAAAAATAGTTGTCAACGTCTCCCAAGCTTTTTTGGGTGTTTTGGCACTCTTAATCCATTGTAGGAACTCATCCTCGATGGTTATAGTGAGACCATACATGACCTTTCCAGCTTTGACCTTCCACCTTCTTGTTGCTTCAGTCTGTTGGTGGTGTGGTGTCTGATCCACCAATGATATCCCATAATTCCTGACTGAGAAAGTAATATTGCATCCTCATGCTCAGAGGAATTTCTATTTGTACCTCGTAAAAAAAGCTTTTTATTTTGTGTAATGAACCATTTCTCTTCTTTTCATGGAAAGAAATTACATGATCCATAGTTGCTTGCGTTGAACTTCTCAACGTTTTTGAGAGTTCTTGCGAAATTCGTCATTGATAAGTGCCTCGCGACTTGTAACTTCTGACAATAACTTGTAGATCTTCTTTAAGTTCATGTCTCGCTCTTATCCGCCAGGCTCTGATACCACTTGTTGGATATTGTTTGTGGAGCCGGGCACAATCAATTTTTCACAACTTGAATTTTATTATATCAAAGTAAGAGTCCGCTTCGGTCTTACAATTCTTACAAACAAATATTTCTTGCACTCACACTCTAGCAACTCTCTCTCTCATTCCTCACTCACTTGTTGTTTGCTCTTTTGCTTTCTTTCTTTCTTGCTTTCTTACTTGGTTAGATACAACTCAAATGAATCACCTCTATTTATAGGTAGTGATAGAAGAATCTAGCTAATGATTTTGCTATTATATTTTAGAATGTTCTTCTAACTACCTTATCTAGAAAATCTCTAGACTTTTCTCTCTAGAATACTCATTCTAGAGATCTTCCTTTATTTCTTTATAACTCTTGAATATTCTAGATTCTTCTTTGAAATGTCTTGGATATTAATTAAGTTGGTTATGATTTCTTAACAAACAATGCTTAAGTGTGGATGGAAAGATCACTTGAGTGTTTTTTTGTGCTACTTTATAGATAGTAATCTCTCTTGATTTTTCTTTGTGCATTAGTTCTTTTCTGAGGGGATTGGAGTTTGAATTGGGTAATATTATAAAATTTTAGGATTTAATTTATTTTTTTATTTTTTTATTTTTTTATTTTTTTTAGGAGTAGCAAGGGAGAAATATAGGGAAGATCATTTTGACTTATCTGATATTAGCATATTTAGGTCTGAGCTTGAGTAATACTTTTATGATTGCACAAGTGTTAAATAAAATAATAAATTTTCTGACACTAGGCTCAAGATAGTGACTTTGTATAAAGACTTGTTTGTATTTATAGTTCGCGATGACATTGTCTTCCTTAAGAGTATAATTGGTCCATCTTGATTGAAACTTTTGCTATAAAAAGAGAAGATTTCTTGTACATATATTTCATGTTTTGCATCTTAATAATAAATGTTGCTCTGTTCAAAATATGATAATAGGTTTTCTTTGATATGTCTTCTAAATTTTAACCTACTCAAATATTGTTATGACTAGTTAGTCCTTTGAGCCTATGATTTTTCATTTGGTAAGTGTATTTTTATCTTGACCTATTTGTTAAATTCCTAATTTTTGCATCCCACTTTCTTGAACATTAGCTTAAATTATGTTATTATTTTAAAAAATGAACAAAAGAGATGATCGAGAGTAACAGTGACCAATGATATTTGCCAAGTGATAATGAGACCCTCTTTGAATTAATGCGACATGGAAAATTTTTGCTTAAAGATAAAAGAAAATGATGATTAAACATTCTTCATGTGATGAGAATTACTTATGAAAATAATTAATGAAGAGATGGAACAGAATAAGGAAAAGAAAATAGTGGGTCATGAAGTCTAGAAAGAGCAAAGTGCTTAGAAGTGTGTCACTATTATATAGTTGTCTCATTTATCCCCTAGCTGACATTATAACGTATTATCATCTTATTTGATTCTATTCGAGTACACCTAATTAGTAAAGATGTACATAATTGGCAAACCTATGATTCATTGTGATCTTTTGTGGATGCAACAGATTTATATTTGATGTGAGTCATTAAATTACATTAGTTTCTTTGATTTGAGTGTGTAGACTATTTACTTTTTGTAAGGACACCTGTTTCATGATAGATAAGTAGTGGAATTAGTTTTCTCTAACAAAGTATGTGAGCAAACTTAAATTTGAGAAGTCAGAGTACGTTTCTAAGGTTAGGAGGCTAAAACTTTATTGGTTGATTGAATTTACTTGTATTTAATTCTTGCATGATGATCAGGAAATGTATATTGTGAGTTGTTATATAACCTAATTATTTGTATCAACCAAAGTAGTAACGCTCCTAAGCTTGATTTATTGATATGAATTTAAATGTCAGAGATAAGTAAAAATTTAAGTGTGTGGCTGATGATGTTAGGACAAAATGCATACATTTAGTCATTAATTACCACACATTTAGTACTTTTAATAATCGTTTGAGCAATTATGTTATTGTGTCCTTAATATTATATTTTTGATAAATAGAAATAAAACAATGTAAAGATGAAAAAAAAAAAATTAATAAAAAGTGGGGAAATAAAGAATATATATTACTCCCAATGTTTCTATTTATATGTCACCATTTTAGATTTCATGTCCCTTAAGAAACTATATAAACTTACCATTGTACCCTTACTTAATATTCTCTTTAAGTTAAATTTTCTATAAATGAACATAAATTAATTTATTTTGATTAATTAAATTGATCAATGAACATGAATTAATCATTTAGTTTTCCTATGTTGATCAAATTCATACTTGCAAGGCTAATAACTCTCAAAGATAAAATAGAAAGAATAGTGTCATTTATACATTGATTTTGTGAAATGACAAATATTAAGGAACATTTATTCTTAGTAAGAACGACATGTAAATAAGAACGGATGGAGTAAAATAAAGACGGACACTATGTTAATTTGGTCCCCCAAATGAAGACCATACACTCTGCAAACCAGCACAAAGCTGAAAGTAGAATCAGCAAAATTTAATTGTCCAAAGGTTTAGGCAGATTAGCATACAATTACAAGGCATTTACCTGGTCAAATTGAAAACTGCAGTCACATCAAACGCAGTGTTCCAATGTTTTGTCATCTCTTTAACTTAACTTTGACAGAATCAATAGGAAAAGAAACATGGAACATTACTCTGGGATAACTGAACCTCACCTTCCAAAGCATTTGATAGACTTTACAGGAATGTACACAACAAAAACACTAATGATGGTGCAATATCATAGAATTCTCCAACTTTCAAGCATGATCCTATAATACAGGTTCTTATGGTCAACTTAGAAGAGCCACACAAAACCATAATTTCCTTGGCTTTTTTCTTGATGAAACAACCAAGAAAGGGAAATATAGAGATGGAATGTCGAATGATGCCAACATCTCACCTGCAATGTTCCTCTAATCAATGAAAGGGAGAAACAGGAGTACTGCATATTAAGCTCGGTTTGATTGCGCATATGATGTCGCCAGTTTAAAAGCTTTAATCAGAGAAGGCTGAATCCTCTAAAGACCTCCCAACTCCTTTACAAGAAAATGAAATATGAGACATACATAAAAAGAGAGGCACAAAACCAGAATGGATTTATCTGTAAAAGCATCTGGTACCTTGATCCTAGTTAAAGTTCAGCATGCCAAACTCTGATATACCTAAATCAAGATGTAATATCAGCTTAATCATGTTGCAGAGGCAGTTTCCTGGATTCTATGGCCATTTCACCACCTTAACTAGGACAAAAAGAAGCTCTGATAGCTTGCTAAGATCCGACTTCCAAGTATATCAGTCTTCAGATTTCACCCTATTTATATGCGACCGCAGACATTAAATAAAAATCTTCTTTAAGCAATTCTCTTACATGCACTGAGGAAAGCATTGTCAAAACATCACTCTACAGCAATTGTTCAGTTGGAGATATCCTAACATATGTCCAGGTCACACAATGAAGCTCAACTCGCCAGTTTCCTTTCCAAGGAAAACTCTTCAAGTTAGTTCAAGGTTTATTCCTTTTCATGACTTTCCAAGATTTCTTTTTCCTTTTCCACCTTAACAGTGCCATCTTGTCACATTTCAACTTTCGATATTCTTGGCGATGCTTTAGCCACAAAGGGTAGTCCTTTCCCTGCTTGCACTCGATAAAATCAGCTAAGTCATCCAAATCAGGGACTTGTTCAGCTAGTGATCTGCACTGGAGAAATATCTTCCCATTGGTTGTTTCCTCCGTCTCCTCTTCCACTGCTTCCACATCTTCTTCATTATAAACTTCAGAAGTGCTTATCGCTGAGCTATCTCCCTTCCTTCTATGTTTATCAGTCAAAGAATAAGGTAAGCAGTAGGGGTAAAGGAGGGAGGTGAGGTAAGTATGAATAAGATAACAATGATCTTAACCTGCAACAGCTAGAACTTCAATTTTAAGAAAATAAAAAATCTAGAAGTTCCGTATAAATTTCCAAAAGACTAAACAACTCCTAGAAAGGCATAGGAACAAATTACAAGTGCTAACATGACTAACACATATTCTCAATTACTAACTATCTCCTATATAGATCTTTTTCTTCCATTGTGCACTACCTTTTGCTAAGTC